ACTCACTGAAGAGCGTCTTCGTTTCCAGTTGAAGGAGTGGATCGATCTCTCGCTAAACGAGCAGGTGCCGCCTACGCTGCTACTCCTCTCGAGGACCATGCTCATTTCCGACGACAGCATCACCACCGACAAGCTCAAGGAGACGATGCGCGTGCTGCCGGATGCAGTGGGTGCCCACACACGTCACGCCATCGGCGAGAGCGAGGGCAAGGTGGACAACAAGACCAAGATCGAGATCATCAAGGAAGAGGAGCGGAAGATTCGCGAGGAACGCGAGGAGGAGCACGAGGAAACCATCGCCAAGCGATCGGCCATCAAGGAGGAGATTCCCGCTCCCTATGTGTTTGCCGAGAAGCTTACCAAAAATATTTTGGACCGCAAGGAGCCGGCCTCGGTGTCCGAGACGGACAAGGGCATTTCCTCTACTGATGTCCAACTGCTGTCCGACGCCCTGAAGACCCTCTCATCCGATAAGCAGCTCGTGGTAGAGAAGGAAACAATCAAGGAACTAAAAGAGGAGCTTGCCGACTACAAGGAGGATGTGGAGGAGCTGCGTGAAGTGCGACAGGTGGTCAAGGAGCCAGTGCGTGAGAGTAGGGCTGCCAAGATGCTTTACAACCGGGTCAACAAGATGATCTCCCAGCTGGATAATGTCCTTAACGATCTGGAGACAAGGCAGAACCAGATCAAGCAGGCGGAGTCCACCGATTTCGTGGCCCCCAGCCCCGCTGTCGAGCCACAGCAGATGGTGCAGATCGACGAACTGGTCTCCACCATCAAGCGAATGAAGGAGGCCTCCGATGAGGAGAGATTTAAGGTTGTTGGGGATCTGCTGGTCAAACTCGATGCGGACAAGGATGGTCTGCTTTCGGTGCAAGAGATCACCAAGGCGGTGCAGAGCATCGACAGCGAGGCCACTAACATCGACAAGAAGCAGCTGGAGGAGTTCACCGAGCTCCTGTCCAAGCAGGCGACCAGGAAGCGCAACGAGGAGATGCTGCGCATCGACGATCTAATGAAGAACATCAAGGTGCTGAAGGAAACCAGCGACGAGGCGCGACTCAAGCACATCGAAGCTGTCCTGGAAAAGTTTGATGCCGACAAAGATGGCGTGGTAACAGTCAACGATATTCGCAAGGTAAATATATTATTTATTATTAGAAAACTATACTAAACCCATAATGTGTTATTTACAGGTCATGGAGTCCATTGGTCGTGACAATATTAAGCTGAGCGAGAAGGCCATTGAGGAGCTCATCAGTCTGCTTGACAAGGAGCAAGTGCTGCAGGCAGAGCAAAAGATTGAAAAGGCCATTGCTAAGAGCATGAAAGAGGCTGAGAAACTGAAGTCTGAGGTAGACAAAGTGGATAAGGACTTGGCCAAGCTGGTTAATGATGTCCACGACTCCGCCAAGGAGATTCAGGATATTGCCAACGCACTGCGCGATAAGGAGGAAATAGTGCCCGATAAAGCCAAGGAATTTAAGGCGGAGGTAGGTGTGGTCTAAAATCTTAAAAAATTTAAGTTATCAATTGTTTTTGTGCCCTTTCAGCCCGCTTTTAAGGATACGGCCAAAACCTTAAAGGACAACGCAAAGAACCTGGACGAAGCGGCGCCAAAGGACACCAAAGCAGATCCCAAATCGCCTACAAAGGCTTCGGGAGGATCGGGACCATCCGGCAAGTCCGGTGGCGGTGCCAGCAGTGGAGGAGCAGGCGGCGTTATTACTGGTGCAGCAACGACGGAATCGGCGATCCGAGAGGCGGCCGAGCGGCAAATGGAGAAGATCCTGCCCTCCACGGACCTTGGCCTTCCGCCCACGATACAAACACCAACGCAACCACCGACGTCCAAGAAGGCAACGGCCACCGCATCGACCCTGTCCACGACGATTACGGCCAAGAAGCTGCTCTGACCGGCAGAGGAGTCCAATAAGTCCAAGGAGGGATCGGCCCAGACAACTCCTAAGCGTGTACCTAAGCCGAAGTGATGTGTGATGGAGTAGGGGCGGAGGAGAGGTGCTGCTCGCGTGTCCCCCCATTTTGTTCCGACTATACAAAGAATTAATTGTTACCACTTAACGTAAACGTAGGGAGAAAATCGAAACGAGAATGCAACTCTGTATTTATCTGAATCCGAGATCCTGGTGCAGGATCAGGAGAGTGTGCTATACTTAATGCGTGGCTGTAGTACGGTATCTTCTCTAAGTAAGGCACAAACCAGAAACTACTAGAAATACATAAGAATATATCACCTTAACCTATGTATCTTGATTTCTAAGTTTTACACACACACAAACCCACAGCTACATCCGCAATATGTGTTATGTACCTCCCATTCACTTGGCCCAAAAAAAACAACAAAAATATTAGCGAAGCGATTGTGATCATTAAGCGAAATGTTAATTTACGATTTATACCCTTCTTCTATTGATATGTATTTACATCAAGCAAATGAATTAAGACGACCGTTTTTTTTAGGGATTACGAAATGTTGAAGTTGAATTTAAACCACGTGATAGCCCTAAACAATAATGAGTGCTTGAGTTAGCTAAAAGGAATTTGTAAAAGTGTTTCGCAATAAAAGTTAGTATAAAAATAATTAACCGAGTGCAGTTTGCGGGGTCAATCTAGCTATTTGTGAAATGATTTTCCATGCTGATGCACAATTTCTATTTGGGCATTATCAACAATTTGCCAGAACTTACGGCTGCTGGAACATCATTTGGGATTTTTAAATAACTGACTGAGACCGAACAAACCGCATTGATTGCTCAGAATAATATATTTTTGCATTGTTTATTGCCTCGGGAGCGAAATGGTGTTCCACAACCAAGCCAGCCAGCCCCGAAAACGAGAACCCGGTCTTGCCAACTGGCCGGCTGTGATTCGCAATCGACAACCACAGAACCCAAACTTTTACGGCCAAGTTAGTTTGGGCCAACGAGGAGCGGAGGATCGGAGCGGCAGCATCATATCCTGGGCAATAGAAGTAATAAAAATTACCACAAAATGTTCAAAATTTTCATCTTTTGCTGCCCGCTGACCCATAAATTCTCATCATATTCAGCAATGGCCAAGAAAGTGTGGTGGTACTCGTAAAATATTTAGAAATGCCCTCAAATAGTTTGGCCTCTTTGTTCCGGAAAAGCAATTGAATGCAATCAAATGAGGAGCTGCCTGATATAAGGATTATTATAAGGATTAGAATCTAAACAGACTTAAGGAGCAACATTTATTTTTACTCAAAGTTTGCTCGGAATTGAATATGTCTAATTATGATGTGTATACCCCAACATTAATCAATCCCAGTAAATAAGAGGAAAACTTCCGACCGGCCAACAACGAAATCGAAAACAAATAAGCGCAAAAAGCTGCCAAAGAATAAAACGGAAATTTATTTAAAGGTAAATAAAACCGCCAAAACGCGAAACAAGCCAAATAATAATAAACTTCAGCTCCGCTGGGAGGGAATTGTTGTTTGCAATCAAGCAAACCCAACAACCCAACAGCACAACAACTGGGCACCGCAGACAGACCGGATCCGGATCGGAGGACCAGTGGATCCAGAGGGGTTGCAGGATATGGCTAGCTGGACAGGATGGCACAGGATTGGGATGGGGATGGGAATGGGGACGGCCAAGTTCTGCCGAGACACTCTGGTCTGGGCGAAAGTTTGCGCAGCTCAAAGTGCTTCGGATGCAACAATGAAACTCGAAATCTGCCATGAATTGCAGACAATCAGCGACAGAGGACATAAGACAAGCGGACCGGGTGAATTTAAAGTATTTCAGTATTGCAGTATTTCAGTACCGCAGTCCTTCGCCCATGGAACGAAGTTAATAAGTTTGAAAGCCAACGCCCCGGAGAATCTCGCGTAAAAATGGCAAAATTATTTGAAGAAATGTTACAAAACAATTAAAAAGTTGCCGACTTTCATGAGTCAATCAAAAGACCGGCAGCCGCAACTAGTTTCTACAACTTTGCCCTCAACTTTGCCCCCCCCTTTTAAATGCCAGACAACGAGCATACGCCCCGTTGTACGCTCGTCATATGAGCAGCAGACATCCTAAATGCAATTTGTCCTTGCTGAATATTATTTTCTGGCCAATCCGTGGCACAACTTGAAAAACTCTGGGCTGCATTTTCGAAAGCGGCAGAACAACAGAAGTTGAAGTCGGGGCAATGTCAGAAAGTCGGGGGCTGTCAGTTGTAGCACTTGGCATCTGCCCCACATATCGTATTATAACTCGGGTTGAGCCCCTCGTCGGAGGCGCTGATGCACACCAGATGCAGATGTCCAACTGTATTGCAGCATTTTTTCATTTAATTTGCTCTTTCCAGGAAATTAGACATTTTTCCGCCCTTAATAAAGTTTCAATCTCGACTTTTGGTCCGAAAATAAACAAAAACTGGGTCACACAACTGGCGCCTTTTACTTCACTTGTGGAAAATGTAATAAAATTCTTAACTTTAAAATTATTTGAAATGGCATTTTCTTTATTACCATATAGCCTGTATGATGTATACTATTCTGCTGCTTATACAACTACATACCAAACAAACCGAGTGATTTTGGATAAAAATTAAATAGAATTATTAACAGAAAAACTATAATTACTGCTTAAAATTTAGTGGTTCGAAAAAAAATCCCTTGAGATTCATTAGCTAAGAGTCCGCGACTTTCAATTTTCGTATATTTAAAGATGTTTGCATACGTCTTATACACAATCGCTTTTGATTCCCACGATACCCATTTATTTAACAACCGCCAAGTAGGGTCTTAAATATTAATGGCTATAAAGGGAATTAGTCAGTGACGTATGCGAAATTCCATTAGGGTCTTTAATAATCATGAAGTATTTACATTTCAAATGTCGAAACTATGTATGTTCTTGGGGGAATTTGCTTATCGGCACATTTTTCTCAGCTGCTCATCTTGAAGCCACTTGGCTCCCATATAAAGACCTTAAATCGGGGAACCAAGTCCATCGAAAGGCCAGTCGAGTTGAATTGCCCACGGAGCCGGTTCATAGCTCTATTTTGATTTTGTACTTGTAAAAAGTTTTATTTAAACTTTAAAAGTAAGTTATTTTCCAAACAAGTAACTCCTTATATAATTTCCATTTTTATATATCTATAGTTATGGTATAAGGTGACGATCACATGTATTTCCTTGAAGTATTCTCGCAATCACAGTGAAGCTTTTTATAATAAAGATACACTGTGATGGTGAGGATAATTTATGGACTCACAGCTGCTTTGATTTTACGGAATAGAATGTGTTTTTTAACAGGTTAGATGTTAATTAATTCAAGTGATGTATAAAATGTTGAAGTTTTTTCATATTACAGCGTATATTTCTTCAAAATGGCCTACAGACTCTCGGTGCGATTGATGGGCCTGGACATTTCCTCATATGATAACTGATGACGGACAGTTATCATATGTGGAAATTGTCCAAGCCGATCAATCGTGATTTTTTGAGGATCTGCAGCTATCCCGACTACCCCGAATTGGATGTCCTGGTGACTGTTTTGTGGATTGACTTGCTTACTTTCTAACATGATTAAGTTTATGTAATATTTTCAAGATAATTTTTCTTAAACTAATCCCAAATGCTTAAATATAGTATTGTCTTATACAAAAATAAGTTTTTAGATAAAAAGAGTATTACTTTTGATTTAAAGTATTTTATTAACTATAGCTTCCGCGAATAAAAGTTGTACGAAAGGTTATTCTAATCTCGTCTAGGTATTCGTTTCTGGAAGGGATCGGATTCCCGGTGGAACCATCCGTATCGCCAGCTGGTTGCCTCTGGATAGTTGTACTTGTCGTCAGGACTGCGTTCATATCGCCTCTCTAGGTAGGTGCTCCGCTGGCCATTCCGCAGCAGCTGAAGCTCCACAGCTGGCACGGATTTCATGGGATAAACAATACTTTGGGCGAATACTGTCTTCTCCAACGGGGACAGATGGTAATCGAAGACTCCATGCTTGAAGGGACGGTAGATCCGGCTGGTGACGCCATTCGAAGTCCTTAGGGGAATATTGAACTGTTGGGTCCTACTGGAAACAGTACTCCCAGTGCTTCGCGAGGATGGTGGTCTTGAAGTGAGAGACGCCATTGTCTTGGAGTTTGGATTCTGAACGTTTTTTCCCACGGTTTTTGGCTTAACCACAGCTATTTTTATACTTTGTTGCGAATGGCACTTCTGCTTTGATGAAGAATTTTCCGGTGTCTTCTCGGAAACTTTATTAGCTGATAGATTACCAGAAGCTGAAGAAGTCTTGGCCACATTCTTTGATTTATCGTCTGAAATCAGTGCAACAGAGGACGTGTGCTTTTTGGAATAGCCTATATTACTTGACTTCCCCGGGACTATCCGCTGCATCCCCACACTTTGAAATTTTGATGTTACTTGTTTGTTAGATGATTTAAACATTTCTATGAATGTATGATACCAATAGAAATAACTAAAAAATTTGATTGACACTGAAGGAAAAGGGAAAGAACTGTTGTGAAGTTCTACAATGTTGCTATAAATCTTTGATCAAGATCTAAACTGTTGCTATTAGTGTTTTATTAAGCTCTAAGTCTAACATTTGAAAATGGCAAATAGAATAAATGTTATAAATTGTATTATAAATTATAGAGAAAAAACTAAACCATATTACCATAATATCTATTTTCGTCACATTTTAATTCGTAAAATTGGATAGGGTATTGAAACTTCGAAAAATGATGATAAAGCAAGTTCCATAGCCCTTAATCGTCGCTGTGTTATTATGTTATAATATTGTTATTTAGATGTAAAATGCTGCAATTAACTTATTATGGAAACCAGCTCAAAATAAATTACTAAGTTTTTGTAATACGATTTTTTAAAATCAAATAAAATTGGTTTTAGATATATTTTATGAATACTTCTTGTATGAACTGACCAGAAAGTGTTTACTTGTCATAGATCGCTAAATAATTACCTATAGCATCCACCAATAAAAGTTGCTCGATAGGTTGACATAATAACAAAGTAAATGTATTTAAACTTACAATTTTTAAAGTATTTATTAACTATTAAAATGCTTTTACTAGATTGTTATTATAGTGTTTATTTATATGGTAAAGTATTGACCATTTAAGGCCGACAGAAAGCAAACCAAAGAGCACCTTATAACACCTTTCGGCCGTGAAAAATGTATGTCTCTTTTAAGTGCCGGCTTTGATTCTCAATAAATGGTAATCCCCAGCTGAATTTTTATTTTTTTTTCCCTCGTAACCCGAATTTGTGTTTATTTTCAATTTGTGTGGTTGTGTGAACATATAAAGTGGATTATACAGAGATAAGAGCGCTCTACAGACACATTTCTCTTGCATTTCCCGTGTATTTTTTAGTCTGGCCAAAAGGAAGCCTTGGCCCACACGTTGGCCATAAAAATATCGCAGATATGTCGCCAGACTGTGAAATGTTTATATGCATGGGGTCGCGTCTCGTGGTTGCAGTTGCACCAGGAAACTCTATAAACCCGGGAAAAATCGACAGGTCCTGCCACTCCTCGCACTTAGAACTTTAAGGATATATATAGTATATGTGCGGCATTGATTTGGTCTCGTTCCAATTGGCTTGTTTATTTCCGAATCCGAATCTCTGCTGTTTACTTGGTGGCTTCGTTAAAGGTGTTTTTGGTATTGGGTTTATTTTTCGGGTTTTTTTTGGGGTTTGTTTATCCACCTTCACCTGTACTTGCCTCCGGGAGAGCTGCATAAATGAGCTGCACATCGGTTTTTATCTTGAATCCCTGAATATATCACTGAAATTTGAAACTTTCGCTGCGATTGCGTTTTCTATTTGACATTTGATACAGTATCGCAGATTGATTTTGGACCAACTTTGATATGATAGATGGGCGTGGAGTGTCATCGCAATGCACTCGGAACTGAAAAATTGAACGACTTGCAACTTTAATAAGACGAAAGTGCGCGACAGCTGAAGCACTCGCAATTTCCTCGACCCTCGCTGACCATTAGCGGAAAATTCTCTCCACTTTCCACTTCGATTTTAGTCGATTCGCTTCCATTTCCATTTTCTCTCGCCTGCTGCATTTTTCTCCATTTCCCCACCTCCTTAATTTGCACTGCATTTGTCGCCATTTGGCTTTCAGTTAGCCGGGAAATGCGGAAAATGCGGGAAAAGCGCGAAAGGCGGCAAATCGAGGGGCCGAGCAGCTGAGTGATGGAGTTGCAGTTGCACTTTACTGCAATTGGTTGCACTTTATTCGCGGTTGCGTGAGTGGAACTTGGAACTCGCAACTTGGAAATGCAATTGGCAGCGGGCAAGTTAAAACTTCTAAATTACATTATTGCCAGCCCCAAAAGCCCCCACAATCATTGCAACATTTTATTTCTAATTAAATTGAACGCCGTCGATATCCGATGTTGAAATCGCTTTTTAAAGCCATTAGGGTATTAGCTATTTTGGAACTGTGTTACAGATAATATACAGAAAAAAATTAATCATCAAAAAAACGTTAAATTTGTATAATTTTTTTATGAAATTGTGTGATTGCACTTAGTTCAATGTCATCCCAAATTAGTTTGATAAGAATGAAGCGAATTCTTTAAAGAAGGGCAAAGAGCATAATGAAATGATTTCTTATTTCTATTTGTCTGAATAATTTTGCCTTGTTCTTAGATTGAAAAACCCATGAGTAATCTTTCGAAGACATTAAAAAAGTATACCGCTTGCTATAAAAGATGAGCGCTTTGAGTGCTCAGAATTCAGTCTTCGTCTCAAGATGAAGATCATCATAGCTGGAATCGTGGTGACCGCCTGTCTTTTTTTGGGAGCCCACAAAGGATCGGCATCCTTGCTAGAAGAAAATTGTGGAACCACAAAGCATCCTTTGAGAGTTCGGCGGGTAGTTGGAGGCAATAAGGCTGAAAGATTCTCGAATCCATGGATGGTGATGGTGTTCGCAGACGACGGTTTCAAGTGCGGCGGTTCGCTTATCACCTCTCGTACGTATTTTATTAAATATTTGTATTTAAATTGGTATACTTATAAACGCAATTGATGATTGTAGGCTTCGTTCTGACAGCAGCGCAATGCATTTCTGAATTTCCGGCCATGTAAGTGCAGTACTTTTATGTTCCAGTAACATGGCAATTCTTCTTTTCTTTTAGTAAGGTGCGTCTTGGCGTATTCGACAGGGATATCAGCGAACACACTTATGAGGTTAATATCGATCGGAATATTTCTCATCCACAATTCACAAAAAGTGTTATGGGTAATTATGACATAGCTCTGCTTCGAATGGCTGAAGAAGTTGAGTTTTCAGGTAATTAATTGAGATGGCCAACCAATTCCCCAAAAACGAAATATCTTTTTTTTAGACTACATAAGGCCGATCTGTCTGCTCGTCAATCAAAAAGTGGAAAGAATTCATCCAAATTATAAGCTTGCCGGCTGGGGTAGTACTGGAAATGGAGGAATCCCCAGAATTCTACACACAACCAATATATTTAATGTCGATCTAGACATTTGCAACCAAAAAATGGGCGTGCAAACTGATCAGTCCCATATATGTGCTGGCAGTTTAAGCAGTAATGCTTGTGCGGGGGACGGTGGATCTCCGTTGAGCGTAGAGCTAGATTATGAGGGATCTATCAGACAATTCCAATTAGGTATTGTTAGCTACGGATCCCGTCAATGTACGGGCTTAGATGTTTTCACAAACGTTACGCATTACATCAACTGGATTAAGGATACAATTGGCGCGAACTCTGTTTAAAATAATTGATGATATCGTTAAATAATTAAAATTTTATCAAAGGCACTACTCTACAAGTTTTCTTTTATTTAAGGATGTTTAGAGGGCGGGGTCTGTAGTCTTGGAATTAGTCTCTCACCGAGCAAATTTATATTGATGTACTTAATATATATGTTTAAACATCAAAAGCAAAAAAAAAAAAATAAATATACTACACTTTGTCGAAATAATCTCCTGAAAGCCAGGTTTCCCTATCTCTGTTTTGGTCTTTTAGATGACGTCGACTATCAGCTACTCATACGTTACTCATCTAAAGAGAGAACATATTGATGTTTCTTCGCCTCTAGTCGAAGGTATATTTGTTCTTAAATTGTATAACTGAGTAACAGGTATCTGATAGTCGATTTTGTCCTTTTTCCATCTCAGATATTACATGGTTAAGAATGCTTTTTCCCCGGGGATTGAACAAATTTTGGAGTAATGGCAAAATCATCTTTGTCCGCCAAGTTCAAGAGGAACATCGCCAAACGACCTTATAACCGACAACTGAGTGGCGGATACTGTTGGCCAAGCCAAAGTTCGTTGACTCAAAATGGCACTTTGGGGCCGGGCACTCACAACATCTCCATCTACAGATGGATTCGCAGGAGTTGGATCCGCAGGAGGTTGGAGCTGCGAAAGGACTAAGTCAACAATGGCGTGTGCATTGCTGAGTTTATTAAAAAGGGCTCAGGTGAATGTCTGGGCGCCCCGTTTGAAACACCAGGTGCACCCCTCTCACCATTCCTTCCCGGTGTTTACTTAGCCGGGACACACGCAGGCTTACGTATACGTAATATAGAGATAGAGCTAGAGTCGTGGCAGCCAGAAGCCTCTAGTTTGCCTTGGAAATAGCCCACCTCGACCGACCCCTCCACTCGGGAGCAGTCTGCCGTCAATGGTCAAAGGTCATTTGCATTTTGCCAGCGTCAGCTTGTCCTGTTCAACCAAACAAATATACACATTTGCCGCCTCTTTGATAGGGGGGAGGGGGGAAGAGATACAAATACAAACTGATTAAATGGCCGAGATTGAAGGGGCGGTTAAAATGTATACAAAGACCACAGCTGCACTAAAAAGTATTTAATATATGGAAGATACTTTAAAAAGTATTCCTGCTTAAATATTTAAAAAGATAATATTTGTATTCAATAAATATGGGCAGAAACTCATAGATAAATCATAAATTCCATAAATGAAAAAATGAAAATAAATTCATCTGCTTTTAATTTAAGATATAAAAGCTTATAGGGCTAAAAAAAAAAAAAATAATAATAACAATAGTAATAACAAAATTATGTAATTTAGATATTATTTCAACAACCATGTTCGATTTTTAAAAAGGATATAGTGAAAGCCTTTCTGATTTTTGCTAACAATTTTGAATAAGTGAATTGAGTAAATATTTCGAAAAAATGTAATTTAATTAAAACCAACTTTTCTAAATTAAATAAAACCAAATTTTTTTTTCTGTCAAATTTTTTTTTTGTTGAGCACAAATTTTTTTTTTAGTATACCATACTCTTTGTGCATAAATAAACAATGAAGAAAGCATTGGGTGATAAGGCGAATAAATAGAGAAATGATTTAACGCAATAAATTCAATAATTTCAGAAACAAGTCGGCAGCTTCACAATGATTAATTGACAAGTTGCTGAAATACGTTTTTTTTTTGTTTCGTATGCCACAGGCAATCGAGGACTGCCAACATTTTCACCATGTAAACACATTTCCATCTCCAAAACTCACATACCATTGCATACCATCTCGATCCCAATCCCAATCCCAATCCCAATCCCGTCGTGTTCAAATCGCTCGTCATTAATTTCCACACATCGGCGTGGGACTTTGAGAACAATGGAAGCACTTGAAACTGTGCTCCAAACCTTGTTTATCCACAACAGCGTCCTCAACTTTTATTGGGTCTTTAGTTTCGCTTTGCGGAAAGCGGGGGGGATTTAAGTGGGTTTTCGGGGGTTTGGGTTAGGGGCAAGAAAAACAACAATCAACACCATTTGATGCTACAAATTAAGCTGGGAGCAAACAAATCGTGGCAAGTTCCCTCGGTTTTCCACGCCAAAGTTTCTGCTGTTTTAAGCACATGTTGTTGCTGCCTCGCTTTATGTGGCTGTCTTGTCTGCTTTCCCGCTTTTCCGCCTTTCCACCATTTCCCCGAAAACGAATCCCATTCCACTGCTCGATTGTCTCAAGGGCAATTGCCTGCTCTTCGATTGGCAATGCTCACTATTTATGGGGTAAAAGTGCTTAATCAAATGCCAAACGGCAGGGGCACGCACCGAAAACACGGCGTATACTTAATTTTCCCACATCGCCCCCAGCCAAAACATTCCTTTTCCGCCGAGTGCCGAGTGCTAATGAAGCCATGCTCTTAGCATCGAAAATTCTTATTTAATTAACAAGTTTAACAAGGACTTAACTGTTGATGGGGGTCTTTGGACATGAAAAGTGTGTGTTCTGTTATTGAAAAACATTTCATTCACTATGTCTTTTCAAGTTGTTCAATTATAATAAAAACTAAAGGGTTTTAAAAATGATAACAAAGGTGTTTAGAAGCATGAAACTATATGAATTGAATGCAAAAGGCCTAAGGATTTGGACACATGTTAAAGTGATTTTTAAAGCCAAAATATTTTGGTCAAGAGAAAGAATTTTTTAAAAATTACTAAGCAGAAAAAAAAACTTTAGCTCTTATAAATACATATTTTTATTTTTTTTCTTCATATTTGTGTATTTTTTTATGAGTTCTGAGATTGGCCACGATTTCACAGTTAACTCGTAAACTTTAGAAAACACAAATCATGGTATTTCTAAATTCTGCGGCCGGGTAATGCATTTTGATTGTCAATTTTGATAAATGTCTTTATTAATTCATTTAGCGCCTGACCCGCGGCTATGCCAATAAAATAATAAAATGCAAAAATAAAAAGCGTTGCCATCAATGCATAAAATATATATTTGCAGAACTGCAAACCTTTGGATGGGCGAAAAACGTGTGCAAATTGGGAAAATGATTGCATTTTTGTGCTTCTATTTGCAGGTCGTTTTGTTTGCAGTTTCGTTTAATTTATTTATTCACCAGCCGCACTTTTGCTAAACGTTTGTTTTGGGGATTGGCTATTTCTGGCTGGCACGTGTTTAATCCTGGTGAGTATGCGCCACACCTCCAGGATGTCCCCCGATCCCCAGTGTTGAAGTTGTGCCCCCTCTCCCTGGGAACACGGTTGTCATAAAATGTTAAATATAAATTTATGGCAGACTGTGCGATGCCGGCATACTAAGCACCGCATCAGGACTCCGACTTCGGTTCGGACTCCTCGGAAAAGTCGCAAAAGGACTGCCTCGGAAAAGTCGAGGCTTTTCCCGGTCGGCTAAGCACATTAGCAAAATGAAGCTGTTTCGATTACGATTACATTGGCCAGAGATTTGCGCTTTTGTTGCACTTTGTGATTTTGTTGTCAGCATTTCAGCCACAGGACCTTCGTAGATTTTGCTTAACGGCGACTCAGGACCTCTTTAAGTAGGTTCAGGTGTTTAAGGTTTAAGGTTGGCATACAAATTGAAATTTTCACAAAATGCAGGCAAAACTTGTTTATTGTAATTGCCCCATTTAGTTGGCACATCAATAATCTGATTAAAGTGGTAATTGTTAATTCGCTTATGGCATGGATTATGCAGATTTACCTTTATTGCAGCTAATTTGATTATTTGTTTTATTTTATAGTGATTTAATTGCTTGAATGCCAAGTGAAAATTGTAATTGAAAATAAATACATTAAAAGCTGTTTAAAAATAAATTTGAATACAAATAGGTTTTGAATAAAAACCACATGAAAAAGTACGAAATAATAAAGTTGTAAATTGACGGGTATGGATTATACAATTAAAAATTTTAAAATACATTTGTTATTAGGTCTGTAATTTATGTATTTATGCAAAATGGCTTTAAGAAAAAAAAACCAAATAGTACTAGAGCGCAGGAAAAGGTAAAATTTTAAAATAATATTAATATTTATATTGCTAATAGAAAAATGGAATTTATCTGTCGCCTAAAAATCATAAAAATACATGTCTCTCTGCTTTCTTTGTCAGTTGAAAATTTCCAGCTTGTAAACAACATACACATATATATTTTAACAATTATTATTTTAAATAACTTTAAGTTAAATGGCTGAGCGGTATGATCGGGCGGTGACCATATACTCACCCGATGGCCATCTTCTGCAAGTGGAATATGCCCAGGAGGCAGTTCGAAGGGGATCCACTGTGGTAAGTCCTTGAAATCTGGCATTAACCGTTATTTAATCGGCGGAACCGGAAACGGAACCCAACGGAAGGTGGGTCTCCGCACCAACAACGCCATAGTGCTCGGCGTGGAGAAGAGGTCCGTGGGCGAATTGCAGGAGGAGCGAATGGTGCGCAAGATTTGCATGCTCGACGACCACGTGGCGTTGACTTTTTCGGGGCTCACGGCGGATGCACGGATCCTGGTAAGCCGCGCCCAAATGGAGTCCCAGAGTCACCGCCTGAATTTCGAGAAGCCAGTGACCGTGGAATACATAACACGGTGAGGAAAAAGGGTTTTTAAGGGTTTTTGGCTTGGAAAAAACATAGAACAGTATTAATCTGAAAAAAAATAGCTCAATAACTCAGGATACGCAAGAGTTTTAAGATCACTAATGTGAAAAAGAATGCAATTCGTATTTCGAAAGGTGTCCACTCCTAAAGACAGACTGTTAAATACTTTTAGACTTCTTTTTTGATTTGAGAAAATATTTAAATATATTTTTTTTTAACGTAAAAGGTATAGTCTATTTTGACTGTACTGAAAAAGTAAATAATACCAGTACCCAAGAAATCTCAATAGTTTAAAAATCACTTGAAACAGTGACTAAAAGTATGCAGCAAAAAAAGTACCTAATGTTCTTTTGCTGCCTACTTTTAGGCGTACTTTTAAAATGATTTTAAAGGGTTAACCTAAGGAATATCGATGTTCTTAAATGATTTTATATAGTGTTTCTTTCAGTGCAGGCCGCAGGGTGATTAGATACTCTGTTTATCCTTTTCCTCTTTCCATTTCCCATTTTGCAGCTACATAGCGCAGCTGAAGCAGAACTACACGCAGAGCAATGGAAGGCGTCCCTTCGGATTGTCCTGTTTGGTTGGCGGCTTCGACGAGGACGGCACTCCGCACCTGTTCCAAACGGAGCCCTCGGGCATTTACTACGAATGGAGGGCCAATACCACCGGTCGCTCCAGCCAGCCCGTTCGCGACTATATGGAAAAGCATGCGGAGGAGATTCTGGCCTCCGCCGACGAGCCCACGGCCATCAAGCACATAGTCCGCACCCTGGTCGGTGTGTCCTCGCTGACGGCCAGTCAAATGGATGTGGCGGTCCTGAAGTTCCGGCAGCCACTGCGTATGATTGATCGCAAAGTGCTGGTCGATCTGGTGCGGACCGTGCGCTCGGAACTGGAGGCCGAGGCGGAGGCCAGCAGGCTGAAACGCGTTCCCTGATTCTGGACATGGCCGCAGGGCGGATTCCTCGCACTTTCATGACCAATCAAATGTTAACCAGTCTTTTCTTTTTTCCTCCTCATCTGGACGATTCAATTTCGGCCTGGGAGTTGGGGAAAAGTAATCAGCAGGAAAAATGTGTAAAGGACGGCCAAATCACTTAATTTGTCTCGAGGGCGTATTTGTTTACTTTATATCTCGGACGAGATGGAGCGTCCGCTCTTTTCAGGCCAACCAAGTTAAAAAGTTTTAAGTGAAAATGGGAATTGAATTTGTAGTACAAAAAATAAGACAAGCGAGCGCACACGTGCAGAAAAAATGATTTTATTTAATTTGCCTTTGATTTCAGAGCAAACGTCATTTCGTTTGATATATTTCTAGTTGGTAAAGGGATTTTAAAAGATGCTATAGCTTTGGAATTTCAGTTAAAAGGCTGGTGTACTCTTTTTAGACAATTTTAAGTTTATTCAGTACTTATATACTATATATTAATAAAAGTATTTACAATCATTGGATATCTAAAAAATGGGACCTAGCCTTTAAGAAAGTATAAAAATTTCATCAAAATTCAGTAAATCTTACAATAAATAAAATATGTTTCTCAATTCAATAATTTTCCCAAAGGTATTGCGTTTATATCATATTTATGAATCATTCTTAAAAGTTTCTAAAATTCAAATGACCTAAAAAAAAAGTTTTAAAATCTTTTAAAATTTGAAAAATTTTAATATAAATTTTTTTTACGGTGAGTTGCATTTAGGATTTCCGGTACCTCCTACACTTTTCGTTCCCCAGACTATCATATTCAAAGTCAAAAGTTAACCCCTCCCAACTTCTTTCTAAATTCAAGTGCTTTATTCAAAAGAGGGCTTTAGGGATTAAAGGTGTAAGCTTTTATTGAGGTATTCTCTGCATTTAACCCTTCAGAGAGGTCATTCCGGCTTGCATTATTTCATCGGTGAGCAAAAGATTGCCTGCAATAATGGAGCAGGATTCCAGGATCTGCATCAGGACGCAGAAGTTGTCCACAATGCCACTGGATGTGGGATCCATGGGCTCTCCAGTAGCCAGGTCAAGTCCTACGGGAGATTCCTTCGCCTCCCGCTGGGCTTCTATTAGCTTGACAATGGTGTCCTGGACATCAAATCCACTGTTTGTGGCCAGGGTTTTGGGTATTACCAACAAGGCCTCGGCAAAAAGTTGAACTCCCAACTGGGCTTTTCCCTTGACAGAGTTCTTGAACTCCAAGAGTTCCTGGTGGGAGAGTTCTTTGATGGCGGAGATCTGATGACGAGCTTGTCCGCGAATCAAGATCGTAACGGACGTGGGATTCCGGCAGTGCTCCACAAAGGTGTACTTCGTCTCGCCAAGCTGCTCCTCACGAACCGAGGCGGCGAATCCCAGGTGCCCCTCCTGCAAATCCTCTAGAGAATTCAATGCCTCTCCGCCACAAGCTCTGACCAAACGCTCCATGTTCCTGCTTTTGGCCCGCCTCAAGCCAAGGATCCCCTCCTTAGCCAAAGCTTCTAGAGAAGGCACATCGATTCCCTTTTGGTTGATGACCACGAATCCCTTTTGGCTGTCCTTACAAACTCGATTCTTCAGTTCTATAATCTTGGCCAGACGCAGATCGATGAAGCGGTGTTCTTCGGTGACGCATTTCTCCAGCTCCTCGGCGCTTTTATAGCAAAACCCCGAGGTCACCGAAGTTTTCTCTAGTTCCAGAGACACATTGCATATCAGGATGTAGGCATCCTGAAGGCTTTTTGGCATATTCATATGGCGTCCACCGTGATCCAGAACTAGTCCCTTAATGAGCTGGGTTTCTAAGGCCGTGTGCTGCAACATTTCCATTAACTCGATCATGTTGAGATCCAGGATGTTACTTCCATCACCTCGAATAGCCAGGATGGCATTTACGCATATATCCGTGAGCATGTCAGCCAGGCCAGGATCCAATTTGCTCCTCAAACTGGTTCTGGCCACCGGAATCAGGTCTTCCCTTTCCAATCCAGTAGGAATCCTGAGCGATTGGAGTACCTCCAAGGACCGTTCCTTGGCCAGCATGATACCCTCCACTAAGATACGAGGATGCAGTCCCTCTGCGATGAGCAACTCGGCCTGCTTCAGGAGCTCACCAATCAGGAGCACCGTGGTCGTAGTGCCATCTCCCAGGGAATCATCTTGGGCAGTGCTCGCTCTGGCAATCATGTTCGCCGTGGGATGGCGGATGTTCATCTCGTGGAGCAGCACATTGCCATCCTTGGTGATCTTGATGTCGCCAGCTGGGGAGACAAGCATCTTGGTGGTGCCCTTTGGACCCAGATTGGAGGCCATTAGTGTCTGTAGACCCATTGCCCCAGCTATATTTATCCCGAGGGCCTGGGCAGCCCGCGCAATTTCGGCCTTGGGATTCAGGAGACTCACGGCCGACATGGTGGATGTTTTCTAAATTAATTTTCGGTTATATAATTTTTCTTCTAAACTACCACTGACAAGCAACGTCAAAGTGACAGCTTTTTCCAAGCACACTATTATTTTTGATGTGTTGTATAACACTGTTTTAGTTTGGACGTCTTTTTGAAGACTGTGTGCTTTGATAAATATTTTTCGCTATGATTTTCATCCCTTACTCAATTTGTTAATTTTAAATTTGAGAAAAACTTTGACTTTAGTACGAAAGCTTTTTGTTGACATAATAAGTCTTTCAAGTAAGAATCATTAAAATAATATTTTCAGCCTTGATGCTTATATTTGTTATATATATATATAATGGTATAGATATTTAACTTATACTTTCAATACCAAATTTGAATTTTAGAACTTAATTCCACTTTTCCATTTTTTATCAGTGTAAATTCAATGTTAGCTTTTTGAGACCATTTCCATGCTGTGTAAAGTGCATCTTAATAAGAAAACAGGTTAAAGGTTTAATTTATGGAAAGTGTAGGTTAAATTGCGTTATTACTGGTAGATTTTTAAGAACCGACAGATCTGTTTTAAAAGAGCTAAGAATAGTAGCCCTGGTAATGTAGTTGAACATGTCACAGCAGGCCTGGACATTAGATGTCACATCATACTGGACTCGCTTAGTTCATTTTTTTTACATGCGCCTTTCCGACATGTCGTACAAGTAAGTAATCTTTTTCTGTATAATAATTTTAAAGTTTATATCCCATTACGGCCCTTAGTAAGACCGTCGACTCGCTGGGTGATTACAGCTGGATCAGCTGGTTCCTTGAGGTCAAGGGCAACGGCTTCATCTGCCGCGTGCCCACTGACTTCATAGAGGATAAGTTCAACTTGATTGGTCTGGAGTTCCAAACACATACCATGGATTTGGTTTTGGAACCGGAGTACGACAAACATAGATGGAACAACGAGGTGTATACGGCGGATGCGGAGCAGCTGTACGGCATGATCCACGCCAGATATATTCTATCGACGGGCGGTGTGGCGGATATGTGTCTAAAGTACGAGAGGGGTGACTTCGGATCCTGTCCGAAGGTCTACTGCAAGGGTCAGAGGACCCTGCCCGTTGGCCTCTCCGATCAGTGGAACCAGTCCTATGTGAAGATCTACTGTCCGCGATGCAACGACATCTTTCAGCCCAGATCTCGTTGTGGACTGCTCGATGGAGCCATGTTTGGGACCAGTTTCCCCCACATGTTCTTCATGCAGCTGCCGGCCATGATGCCTTCTCCTCCCCAGGAGAAGTACGTGCCCCGGTGAGTAGTTATTATATCTTTAAATCACAGATTATACTTATAGTCCCATTTTTTCAGTCTGTTTGGCTTCCATCTCCATAGGAATGCCCTGGTTCCACCGGGATCACCTGAGCAGATGCCCAAGATTCAAGGATCCTCCACCAGCCAGTCCACTTTCTTATCCTCAACCAATCAGATGCCACCATAAATTTTTTACGACCCTCTTTGAAGGGAATGCAGGTTTAACTCTTACTTTTAACCCAGGGAAAGCACAAATGTTGGTCTGATGTCTTGTTGTTGCAATTAAACGGATTCCTTATTAGTGCCTTGATATGGCCAGGTATTCTACACTTATATTTACACTCACTCTCTACACTGAACACAAACAGATCCTTCAAAGCTATGGCCATATCAAGCACTTGGAATGATTAAACACGTAGAAAAATGAAGAGTCCTTTTCGTTTATAGGGGTAATCATCTGGGTGTTTCGAGACTAGAGCAACTTTAGTTTGCACTGGGAGAAAGTATTCAGAAATAAGTTCGAACTAATAATAACGAAAATATTTATGGAATAGAAATGTTATTTATTCTTGTAAACTATATATATATAAATGAAACAGTTCCTTTTAAGTCTTTAGAAATTAAAATCGCGAATAACTACTTAATACGATCCTTGCAGCAAATAAAAAATATTTGTATTCATTTGAAATCAAATCATTTTCCAGTATATTCTAATAAGGTGTGCTATACATTCAATTCTAAACACATTTTAAATAAACTCCTAATTCTCTTAAAATCCAATTATAATAACCTGTTGTGTTAATTTAGGAACAAGTTTCCCTTGGATTCGATTACCTAATTGTTTTTTCAAGAATTTTTTCTAAAGATAAATGTCCTATAAAGATTAAGAGTATTCTAAGAGATAAAAGTAATATAATACTTTATCTTGAGTCTTGTGTTCACTGGATTGCGCAATCAAAATCCACTTGCAGCACAACCTGCTAAGCCGATAATGGGAATTACTCTGAGCTGAGCTGGGGCGTCCTGCGATTCCTACGATTCCTGGAGACCTGTGGGTCCTGGCAAAAGGAGTCGGCTCCAGTTTCTGTTTCCACTGGCATCCCCAATAAGTCATGCCTTTATTATTATTTACTGCCGCCCTGGCGCTTTTCAGTTTTCAGTTTCCGCGCCACTCGACGCATTTTCCCCGTCGAGTGGCGAATTGTGCCTTTTCTCCTTTTCTACTTTTCTGCCTTTCGCCTTCTCTCAGTTCTGGCACTTTTCACACTTAATTTCATTAAGTAATCTTTCATACTGCAGCTTTTATTGAGTTTTAAACTGGCAGACCGTATAATGAGTATGGCGGGTGAAAAACTGGAGAAAGTGTAGGGGAGAGTGCCTTTCAAAGGGAAGCGAACGTTTTGTTTTACATTACAATTGAGCCGGCAATGTGTTTTCTTGTTGTCTGCGGATGGCTTTTCCCTGGCATTTCCTTTGTGGCTCCTTGGCCACCTGTTGGTCCATTGCTCGGCATCATTTATTCATGGCATTTAACCGAACCACACCGAAATATAGCAATACCACTCTATTTTTTTATATATTTATACAATTTCGGAGGGGATTCACGTTAGTCCTGGGTGGATAAACAAATCCGTATGCTGTTCTAGTAAACAAAGTACTTGCATTCGATTGGAAACTCCGCTCCAAGCTGGCGGTTCTATTCTTTTGCCAACTGTGTTTTCAAGACTGGTCGAATATTTGATTGTATCGCTGCAGGCTGTGCCGTTTCTATATGGAATGGATGTCCATCCACCCAGCCACCACTCAGTTTTCTGAAACTTGTTTTTCCGAGTTCCGCAAAAGCTTACCACGGAAATATTATTGTGTGCCGGCTTTCCAAAATATTTTTGGACTCCCTTCGCTGGACAAACAATAAATACAATTCCAACGAGGCCCTTACAATTTCAGTTTTATGAATGATTCAAGGGAAATGGTAGTACGAATTTAATCCGCTGTGGAATAGAATATAAACAATATCATTTGGAGATTAGTTTTGCTCCCTTTCTGTTGTGCTTTGCATTTATCTGTGGGTCTAAACTTAACAAAGGTACATTTATTCCTATTTAATCCCCCATTTCCGGCTGTAAAATCTTTTAACTTGTTTCATTTTCATTACCATTTATTTGCTAACGATTGAGTTGTTTGTCTAAAAAGGGTTACATTTATATATTCAAATTAATAAATACAAAAATGAACTTCACTTTAAATGCAGGTGTTCAGAAATTCGGTTGTAAATTGATGTCTCTTATATTTTATAAACAATAAGGAGCGTAGGTTGACTTTTCTTGCTAATCTAAAAATAGTTTTCTTTCTAAATTTTTAAATTGCAAAAATATTAAGAACCAAACATTGATATTATTAAACAATTACAATTTTTATAGAGCTTTAAATCATTGTAGTACTAGTTGTAAGATTTAAAGTTACCGTGTTAATATCTTGACTAGCTCTATAGATATATGTTTAATACTTGTTCTGCTTGGATTATAATAAAATTTAAAATTAATAATAAATAAAAAAGTTTTTAATAGGAAGATGAGCTTACAATTTTTAAGTTACCATAAGGCTTTCTCCTTTATTATTAATATTACTAAATTTATAAAATTAGCTTGTACACCCCAGTTCCGATGCCCATTCAAATTAAAATCCATTGTTCCAAGCAGCCCAAATTCAAAATGTTAATGCTTCATTATCTTTTAGCTTCACTTTTCATCCGCACTTTTAAGCAGTTGAAGTAATTGTTGGGCTTTCTACGATGAACCCAGAACCGGGCGACTAAGCGATTCAGCAATTTATGGTTAATGGCACTAAATTGGTTAACTTTGGCAGGCGGCAACTTTTTCAAAACTTGCCAAAGGAGAGGAAGAAAGGCTGGTTCCGTTAATTTGGAGCTGAGCGGTCGACTGGGCTCCTAAGCGCCGGCTGATTAACCCATTGGGACGGGATGGGAGCAGCAACGGATGGCTGAGCTGCTCCAGAAAGGGGACCCCCGTAATTATCCTGATGAGATTGGCCGTAGGAGCTTTGGTTTCCCGGGGTTCGTCAGCCTGGTTAGCAGTTCAAATTAAGTTACGGGACATGTCTGACCGGTAATAAGCTAAATGAAAACAAAAAAGGATGTCACTCAGTGTCGCAAATTGATGAAGATGGAGATGGAGATGGAGACGGAGGAGGATCTGGTAACCCAATAACTTTGGCCACGCATTAATTGGAATTTATGAAGCTGGCCACTCTGCGCCGGGGACTCTGGGCTAAACAAAGCGCGTAATGTCAAGTGGAAAGTGTCCCGGGAAAGGGTTCGCAAAGGAAAAGTGCAAATGAAAATGGAAAACTGGCCAAGGGGAAGTCAAGTCCTTGTGCGCCAACTTTAAGTGCTTTTAAAAAACCATTAACGTCACTTCCTTGACTGTCTGGCTCTATACGATGAAGCTGCCTTTTTGTTTTCTATGTTTGTCTTAGGCGAATGGACCACAATAAGGTTCTTGAAACGTAGATTTTGGCAAAATCAAGTCAAAGATTGGATTTTTTCTTGGCATTACTTTCATTTTCTTGACTGTCGTCTCTATACGAAGAAGCTTCCTTTTTTTTCTATATTTATCCTAAGCGAACGAACAATAATAAGTTCTTTAAACGTAAATTTTGGTTAAATAAAACTAATATATCTTGATTACTTGGATTTCTTCTTGGCAGCTGGCTGCAGGGATCCAGATCCCCAGGTTCCCGTGGGATTGGGCACGGGTGCTGGCCTATCATTACCAGTTGGTGGGGGTTTCACCACAGAACTAGCCCTCTTAGAACCCCTTTTCACCCTGGGCCTCACTGGAGGCTGGGACTTAGGCAGAGGAGGTTCAGGAGGAGTTTTGTTTTCAGGTGAAGTGGGCTTGGATAGTTTGGTCACTGGACTAGCAGGTGGAGGAGCACCCCTCAAGCTGATTTTCGACTCCTTGGCGGAGGGAGCTGGTTCCGGCTGGTTATGAGCACTCATTACCTCTCTGGCAACACTTCGAAAGGATGGTCGTTCCCTCTTGGCTAAATCCTTGGGCATGGGTGGCAGCTTCATGGACTGCTGGCTCATCTTCCTCTGGTTATCCAGCGGATCGTTGTGGATCACCTGCATGGGAATGGGACAAGCGCCCACCGTTGGGGGATCCGTGTAGCAAACATGGCGGTCGTAGTCAAAGGAATCCTGGCTGTCCGTGGCGGGCATTCCCCGCCGATGGAAGCAATTGATGGGACAGGAGGCCACACAGGGCGTATAGGGCTTCTCCACCTCCGCCAGCTTCTTGATCTTCACCGAGTTGCAGTAGATCTGGTGCCGGTCGGCCACCTGCTCCTCGCGACACATTTCACGCTGCTCGTACTTCCGATAGGCCAGCTCCGCCTTCGAGTAGAATCCCGGCCAGCAGTAGTCCCTTAGGCGGCTCCTCTTTACAATCCTGCCCTCGGGTCGCATGTCCAGCTGGTTCTGCCGCTCGTAGCGCTCCACGGCTGTGGCGATTGGATACAGGGGTCGTCCCACCTTGCGGGACTCCTCCATGATCTGGACCGCCTGCTCGAAGAACTTCTTGTCGTCCTCCAGGTAGGGATCCTCGTTGCAGGCGGCCAGGTTCATTAGCTCGGCGCGACGCTTCTCAAGGAACTCCTCCCGCTGGCCAAAGAGCACGTTGCGCAGATCCTCCTTGACCTTGTCCCTCTTCCGCTTCTGGGAGGCCTCGAAGTACCGATTCGCCTCGGCGTTCTTGAGGCGCCGTGCCACATGGAAGCGCTGCAGTTCCCTCTCCCGGCGCAGCTTCTCGGCATCCTGTTCCCGCTCCTTCAGCTGGTAGGCCCGGCGCTCCTTGGCGAGCATCTGCAGTTCGCACTGGCGGCGGTTCTCGTCCACCTGCGTCTCGAAGGCGTGTCGATCCTCCGCCTGCTCCTGCCGCTCCTCCAGCTTTTTCTGCATCACCTTCTGCACCTGGCTGACGCGGAGCGCCTGCTCCTCCCTTTCCTCCTGCCGCTTCTGCCGCAGCTGCTTCACGTGGCTTCCGTAGCGGGTGTTCAGGTTGCGACTGGCCACTATGTAGACGCAGTTGCGCCGGTCATCGATGGCGTCGCAGATTCTCTCATCTAGTAATTCAAAAAAGTTTATTAAATCCGTTTTTAGGAACTCATCAAGGTAATTTTTATTACTATGACTACATTTACTTTAATCGACAAGAATCTGATTAAGTATTGTTTTCGTTTTTGATTTAAGTACGAAATTTCGAATTCAATATGATTATATTTACTTGTACTAATCAGTTTGTTTATCAGTGTACTCACGCTCAGCAATCTCGGCCTTCTCCTGGATGGAATCCCTATGGGCCTTGCGGTAGAAGGCGATCTTGCGGGCCTTCTTCTCCTTCAAAGCCTTCTCCTCCTTGTCCTGCAGGCACTTGTACTGCGCCCGATCCACCTGCACCTCGAAGATCCTCTGGTCCCGCTCGGCCTCCCTGATCTTCTCCCGCTGCTTAATGTCCTCCCGCATGAGCTGGGCATGCTCCTGGTTCTTGGCCGTCTGCCTGGCCACCTCCTCCTCCTCGGTGGCATGGCCAAAGGGGACCAGAGCAGCGGGACACAGCTCCTCATCGGCCTGCTCCTGGGCCCGAGCTGCCTCGGCTATCTCCTTGTTCAGGGCCTCGTTGTAGCTCCTCTGGTGGATCATCTCGCTCAGGAGCAGTGCCTGGTGCAGAGCTCGTGGTCCGGGCTTCAGTTGCTCCAGTAGATTATTGGCTCGGATGATCCGTTGCTTGCGCAGACGCTCGTCCGCCAACTTGGTGTCCACATCCTTGACCACAGCCATGGCCTCCTTGTTCTTGGCCCTCGCCGATTTCTTGACCTTCGGCACCGTGGGATCCGAGAACAGGCTGCACAGCAGATCGTTGCCGTCCTTCAGGTACTGCCTATACCTTCGCTCCTCCTCGACGGCCTCCAGCTGGGCATGCTTCTCATCCTGGCGAGAACGCCCCTGGATTGCCGCAAATCTCTTGGCCGAAATCACCACCGGATGACGCGTGAAGCGCTTCCTCACAAAAAGTCCATCCGGACCGACCTCCTTGGGCTTACACACATTCATTTTGGCTGTGGCAACATGTAATCCCAAAAATGTGCGGTGTGATATGTTAGTATGCAAATTTGAATATAATTTAACTCTCAGTCTACTAAGTTCTCACCAAATAACTATTTAATTCCTACCGCATTAGAAGAACATTACACAAAGCCATTAACATTATTAAGGGTATTCAGTTCAATTTCCAAAGAGATGACTTTGTATATTTTTAAAAAATCATTGAAAGAAATTAAATGTTTTAATATTAAAAAGGGTTTACAAAGTAGGCGTTGCTTATAAAATACGTGTTTCCAAAAAAGGGCGTTAAATGGATGGTTGATTGATTTTACTCAGTCGAGGATCACTTGGATGCTTTGATTGAAAACACTATAGAGTTTTTAGTATTTCTATAAAATTAAAACCCACAGTTGCACAATAAATATTATTATTTCTACAAAAGGAAAACACATATGTATAATCCTGCCAAAATATTTTATAGGGATATTTTTGTAAAAGTTGGTAACTGAACACCCTTGCGGTATAACTTTCCATTTGATTGCTTTTTGTATAATAGCTTTTTAAATATATCCTGAAAAGTTTGCGTAACTCTTAACGTTTAATGGCACATTAACGATATTATCAATATGTTATGTTAACCAAAATTGTCAGTATCTCGACAGTTTTTTAATGGTACTCAGCCATGAATCACAAGATTGTTATTTTTGGAGGATTGTTTTTTGCTGCTTATCTAGCCTGTAGTGTAAGAGGAAATGAGTGGATTTTTATGTATATTATAGTTAAATACTTTTTTTCTTAGGAGGCTCCATTTGCTAAAATGACAAATGCCGTCTGTAAATCGTACAACAAATCATGGGTTGTTATTCATTATTGCCGCCTGAAGGCTTTTTCTCGAAACAAGACTAGCTTGAATGTAAATGCCACGTTTATTGAGCCAGCCTATAATATATCCCTTCATATGAAGATGCTGAAGAAGGCCAGTGGATATAAGCCGTTTTTATTTGATTATACCTTCGATGCTTGCGAGTTTATGAAAAGACGACACCAGCCCTTTGCCAAGATCGTCTGGAATCTGATCAAGGATGTATCGACAGTGAACCACACCTGTCCTTATGTGGTAATATTGCCTTTTAAGATCCCTTAACCCATTTTAATATAATGGATTTGCAGGGCTTGCAAATGGTTAGCGATTTCCATCGCATTGATGTTCCTGTTGGTCTACCAACTGGAGAATACTTACTTTTACTGGATTGGATATTCGATGGTAAACCACAGTTCGCTACAAATGTTTATTTTACATTTGAAGAGGATTTATTTACAAAAAAACCAACTCACGGAAAGAGGCAAAACAGGTTCTCATTTAAAAACCACTAATTTTTAAAATTAATTTCATTAAGAATGCCACAACAGGCTTAAAAATATAAAAGTGCTTGGAAGGTCACAATTAAAGAAATTAAGCGTATAAGTATTCGACTTGTTTTAATTGTTTTTCAATATTTATGTTAAGCTGCATAAAAATGTCATGATCATTACCATATTCAGTGCAAAGATTGAAATAAAATCATTCAACCAGAAAAAATGTCATTGGAAACATCAAAAGAACAAGCTTAACCGAGATCATAAAACCCCTTTTGTAGAGAGTTCAATACCGCTCGTATTAAATGTTTTTGATTTGTTATCATATAGTTCAAAGGTGAAAAATGTTCTTGAATCTTTCTGGATGTTTTGTAGGTGTTAAGGTAATAATCCATAATTATCCACTAAAAATAATAGTAATTAAAGAATGAATCAAAATATAATTATCATTGTCATTAACGAAATATTGGTTTTGTCATCAAAACAATAAATTCACCAATTTTATTGTATTTATCGGCAGTCGTTACCTAGTGCCTGGTCCCATAGTCATGGATTATAGACTTGTTATTTTTGGGCTTTCGGTGTCAGCTGCTTTTCTAATCTGCAGTGTAGGATAAATTTTCCCGTTCAGGATGGAACAAATTCAAAGTAAACTCTGTATTTTTCCAGGAGGCACCCTCTGTAAAAATGACAAATGCTGTCTGTAAGTCGTATAACAAATCGTGGGTCGCTGTCCATTATTGTCGCCTGAAGGCCTATTCTCGAAACAAGACTAGCTTGAATATAAATGCCACGTTTATGGAGCCAGCCTATCATATAACCCTTAATTTGAAGATGTTGAAGAAGGCCAGTGGATACAAGCCGTTTCTTTTCGATTACACCATCGATGCCTGCGAGTTTATGAGAAGGCGAAACCAACCCTTTGCCAAGATCATCTGGAATATGATCAAGGATGTATCCACCATAAACCACACTTGTCCTTATATGGTAAACTCACACTAAGAGTGTAAGATCAAAGTTATTAATATGATTTACATTTTTCAGGGCTTGCAAATGCTATCTGATTTCTATTCAATTCAATTTCCCGTTCAACTACCGACTGGAGAATATCTTCTTCTATTAGACTGGCACTTTGATGGGAAGCCGCAGTTCGCTACAAATGTTTATTTCACTTTTGTGGAGGATTTTCTAACCCAGAAGAAATAACGAAAAAATTAAACGAAATAATGTGTTGTTTTTCATTTATGAAAATTAACCATGAATGGATGTATATTATGTAAAATTAAGGTTCGTTTGGTTTATATAGCTGTTCATAAATCGATATGCGAATATTATTAAATATAAAATAGAGCTCTTATCGGTTATGATAAAAAAAATCACTCCGCAGTAAATATTATTAGGAATACACGAAATAAGTATCCCATGGATTTATTTATATACAATAATTATACATAACCGTAAATCGCATTGAATTAAAATATTTAGTTATTAGAAAACTGATGGCTTTTAAAAGTTTATATTCGGGAAAAGTTTGTAGTTGCATTAAATTAAGCAAACACTTCAAATTGAATAACAACAAAAACCTGCAACTTTTCACATCTGAATTACTCGTTTTTCACGAGAGATTCGTATAATTTGCGCAATTAATTTCCGTCATAAATCGCATTTGAAGCCTGAAAACTGTTCCATTGCGGCACATGATACTTTGGCCATCCGCAATTAGATGAACCCCAATTAGTGTTAATCAAATTAGGCAAAAACCCTGGTGGAGGGGCAAAGATTCGCGGGACCAAATGGTGCACAATCCAATTCCCGACAGGCGTCAAATTATACAGAAAACTCAGATGGCGAACAAATGGGAATCAGGGAAGAAAAACGAAAAGTTGACTTTCATGCGAAAAGTTTTTTCGGAGCTTTTCATGGTTGTGGGGCGTGTGAATTCCTGCACCAAAATTTTCCATTGGGGGGTTACGAAAAGGGGGCGCTGTAGGCGTGGTCAGACGCCAAACACCGGCGATTATTGTTACAAAATGCAGCGGAGCGTGTAATTTTTCGGCCCCGAAAGAAACGCAAAAGAATCCACATCCACATCCAGATTCAGTTTGAGATTCAAATTGCCAAAGAAACCATTTCCCCGTGGGAAAAGAGGGGGGAAAAGGGAAGAGGAACGCGGCTTCTGAAAATTGTTTTGCGAAAATTAGTTTTCAAACTTTTCTTGTTCGTTTATCTTGCATTTCTGACGGTCTTTTTTTTGGCTCTTTTCCTTTTCTCCCTTCGTGGCCAAATGAAAATCTAAACGCAGTATGCGATATTAATTTGCATTTGAGCCTCGTTGTCATCTGGAGGCAGTGGCCCTGGGATTGGCATTCGGAGTTCGTGGAAGCTCCGTGGCACAATAAAAATCAAATTTGAATAATTTTTAATTTATTTAAGAACGCTTCGGTCGAGTTTTGTCGGTGTTTTCGTATGTAATTGGGCTTTCTGTTGTTGTTATTTTTTAGGATCCATTTGTTGGCTTCCCTTTTAAACGATTCCATCGTAATTGGCCTGAAATTACCTTTTGAGTGAGCCAGTAGAAAAACAAACTTTATGCAAATCGTTTTAGTGATATTTATTTATTTCGATTTGAATCATTTTTTTTGCCTATTTATAATACTTTTTATTACACATCTCGCATTAAATTAACTAAAATTAGACGTACTTAAACTGTAAATTTATTTTGCTTTAACTATTACATTACTTAGCTACAAATTAAAAATGATTCAACAATAATGTTCACACCAACCGACTTAAATTCTTGACAATCACAAAGTTAGGATTTGATTTTGATTTGTAGAACAGTGAGTAATTTGGTATACGACTCGAGCTATGGAACTAGAACTATGATTAACCACAACGCTTTAAGGTCCGCCAATATCAGAGAGACTACATATGTAGATCCTTAATTCTTAAGTGGTAAAGAATGGGGCAGAAGGGGGTGTTTCGAATTTCGAGCGGGATCTGAGAGGAAAGTCTGATATCTCTTTGTTTTCTTTTGCTCCTGGGCTTCTGAGGGCACAGAAGAAGCCAACCAAGTTGGCCAAAACCATTTACCATACATATTCTATGTCTAATTTAGCCGATGCACAAACACACAACAGTTACGATTAATTTATATGTATTTTTTGGTTGGGAAACTCAGGGTATCACAAACATTGAATGAACACTTACTATGGTTAACGTATGCTTAATTTTTCGATTGGAGGGGCGTAGTTTTACAAGCAGTCCCTAGAGTAGGGACTTACTTACAACGCTCAAAGTACAATAGAAAGGGGAGCATTTCAGCTAATGAGATTTGGATGTCTTCAAGATGCCATTGTTTTTATTGGATCTTTGCAGGCTATCACTTTCACAGATTTTTAAGTTTTTACTTTTAAACAAAAAAGGAAAAATTCTTTTGTGATAGATAAAATCAAAATACTTCTTACAACCTACTCCGCTTTACTGAGACTTCTGTGAAACTGAAAACCCGACTTGCCCCCATATGATCTTCTAGTTCTTAGGCCTAAAAGACAACACACATATTATGGTTTGATCATGCGATATTATATAGACACTCACACGCACATACACCTAAGGAATCTTATAAATACTCGCTCGATTTTGATCTCACTCCCTAAACTTCTCGTGATTACATCCTGGGGAACCCTAGCTCCTGGTAACCTCGTAACCTACTTCCGGTACTCTGCCATCGGGAATCCTGATTTCTCCGGCGGAGGACTGTGGCAGGCGGCTCGAATCCGGCTGAATCGCAGACTGCCCGTGTGCGGATGACTTCTAATCCTGGCCTGCTGGTGCAGCGGATGGTGCGAGCACTTGGCCTGCCTGGCCAGCAGTTGGTTCTTGGCCAAGATCACGTCCTCGGCGTACTAGATGTCCGGAATGCTGCGCCCGCAGGAGAGCTTGCCGGAGGATTCCCCGCCATCCAGAGCTCCACCATTGGCGGCCTTGCTCTTGGCGCAGTTGACATCGTGGTGGAAGAGGTGCTCGCACAGTTTGGGCTCCGAGTTGGAGAACTTGCCCAGTTCGGCGGCGGTGGCCGCCTGGCTGAGATTCAGATTCAACTGGAGATCGCTGGCCTTGCTGAAGGAGGTGGTCTGCTGATGATGCTGCTGCGGCTGGTGGAGCTGGTGGACCAGGTGGTGGGTGTAGGGCAGGTGGGGCGGCAGGTTCTTCTGCATGGCACTCAGGTTGCCCGAGCTGACGGTTCTCTCCAGGATCTCGCCCCAGTACTTCTCGGACAGGCCCTCGATGTCGGGTCGCGTGGTGGAGAAGGCCTCCTGGTGGCCATGGATGCCGATTCCAGTGCCCCGGATGTACTGGGAGGCACTGCGACTCAAACTGTTGGCCCTCGAACGGGCGCAAATCCCTAGGACGGAGCCACCAATCGAACTGGCCACTCCTCCAACGCCAGAGCTGGCTGTCCCATTACCTCCTCCTCCTCCTCCTCCTCCGCCGCTGGATGAACCTCCTCCTGGAGGTCGGGATGATGGCGGTTCCGGGGGAATCGGAAGCGTTGTGATTTCGAAATCGTTAGCATTGATGTGACAACAGCCTGATTTGTGCTCGGGCGTATCCTCGTGGGGGAAGCACTGAAATGGCAATGGAGAGGGCAAAAGAGGGGACCATCATAAATTTCGACTCGCACAAAAATTAATAAGGATTTTAAATTCGCATTTATTCTGGCAGAGCACAAGGTTGGGCCATAAATATTCCACAGACTGACCCCCAGTTCTCGCCGGAAGTAAATCATGCAACTTGACTGGGCTTACCCAAAATAGAATCAGGGATTTTTGGCATGGTGTAGAGCATGGGGTTTACTATGGGGCTATGGGTATACTAGGGGTTGTAAATGCCGCTTTGGATTTGCTCTTTCATAATTCAAAATCACTTTGCTGTGTCTGTTGATTGTTTACTTTGCCGGAGCCAGTCTGCCAGCTTCCTACAGCTTACACCTTTGGTTTTGGGGATTTATGGTGTGGGTTTTTGGGGTTCAAAAGAGTAGCTGTTTTTGTGTTCTTGCAAAGTTTGCATTGTGCAACATGAAAGTATGTGAGCTGCACACTCTGCACTTGGGTGAAGTAGCCATATTTGGGAGTCATATTCGGGGAGGACTGGGTTTTTGGGGCGTTTGAAATAGGGATAAGCGAATCAATCAATCAGGGCTTATGACAGATTTGCTGCTGAAACAGACAGTGAACATAGCTCCACATCAGATACGCTGTAAATTAACCCCAAAAATAGGAGAAAAACTCACTTTGTTCGGCATCAGTTGTCGACTCAGTCGGCGGAAGTCGGAGTTCAGCAGCCAGTACATGAAGGGGTTCCATAAACTATTGCTCAGCGCCGTCCAGGTGACCAGGAAATCGAGAAAAGGCGGTAGCTGTGTAGACAGATAGATAGAAATATCACGAAATGTCACAAAATCACAACTGATGAGCCAGACGTGCGCGCATTACGTATGCGCCGCGTTGTACGCCACGAAAAGCGGACTAAACATTAATCCAAAAGGGTAGTGGACAATGGTTTATAGACACTTGCCTTGGATCCCGTGCAGGCAGTGACTATCTCCTGGATCGTCCACGGAGTGACCATTACTATGAAACCCAGTGAAATGGCAGCCATGGAACGTGAGGTGGATCCGCTTGAGTTCTTCTCCTGGATGGGAACAATCTGGGGGAATATTTAACAAGTGTTTTTCAATAGTAATAGTCTTTCTTATATATAGTAAATCAATTTGAAAAGAATAGTACTTATTTTAAGGATTAAATGACCTTGATAATGCCATATAAGATATAATATTCAAATTGGTAAAAGTTATTAATCACCACTAGAGATCATTATATTTATTTGACATAAATATTATTAAGGCTGGATATTTATTCACACTCCTTATAATCTTGCTGTAACAAGTTTGCTTTCAGTTACCATTTTAAGCTACTGTAAGTTAAATGAAACGCAATTAATGTAACTTCTTGAATATTAAGCTCTTGAAAACCCAAATTTATATCATAAATAATTTTCAAATAAGAAAACTACCGAAAGTAACTTTCCTATTCCAAGCCCTTTTTAAATGAAAAAACTTTTAGTTGAACTTTTGGAATTTAATTTAATAAGCTCGAACCAATATATGAAAACTGTAGAATATCCATGGCAAATACTGCATATGTTGTTTAGTCTTTTTGGGCTTAAGCGATGCATACTGATAGATTTAACAATTTGTTTGCCGAAGCAAATTCTATTTACTGCTAACTAAATCCCCAACTCGCTCGCTTGAACAAACTGTTTTGGAGCCTGGGAGCGGGAATGGAAACCACCTGGCCACCTGGCCACCTGACCACCTGGCCAACTCACCTTTTTGGTAATCTTGTTTGTCATGTTCGGCATGCCGGCCAGTCCCATGCTCATGGCCATGCTGAGATGGCCCAGATGATGGTGGGGATGTCCTGGGTGTCCTGGATGATGTGGGTGGCTGGGATGGCTGGGATGACTGGGATGGCTGGCGGGGTGTCCTGGGTGGTGCGAGTGGCCATGGTAGAGGTGAGAGTGCATCCCCGCCTGCTGCTGATGGTGTTGCTGCTGCTGGTGGTGTTGATGCTGCTGATGCTGATGCATCTGGAGCTGCTGGGCGGCGGTGGGATGTGGATGGGGATGGGGATGATGGGCGGCTGCTGTTAGGGGCATGGTCGGATCGTTCAGCCGGAAGCGGCTCATGTGAAAGCTGGAGCCGTAGCAGTACATCAGCACCATCGTCGTGGGAAAGTAGAGGGCGCACGTCGACAATATCCTGTACGAGGGCTTGCTGTAGAAGGGCTCGCAGGCCATTAGACCCGTATTGTTGAAGTAGTAACCTGTGTTGTACAGCGTATAAAGTATCTTATAGTTTGACATGTTCGAGGGCATATTGATATGGCAGGCTAATCACGGGGCATCTGCTCACCTTTGGGCAGCACCAGAAAGCCAAACACCGTCAGGCTGATAATCCAGGTTAAGCTCAGTATGGCCACACAGCCCTGTAAAATGAATACACAATTAGTGGATCCCATTTCCGACAGGTGTGGCTTGATTTATTAGTAAAGGAGAGCTTATAAGCACGTTTCCACTGCAATTCTATGGGTATCAATTAAGGGCAATGGGAAATCGAGGTATAACAGGTAATGATGGTTGTAAACTTTATAGTGGTAGTAATCTTAAGCAACTGCTATGCTGTTCTTAATTTATTTTTAATATTTACTTCGCTTTCTTATTTTCCCATATCAGGATATTTAAAAAATTTTTAAACTAAATTAGTAGAGAGGTTATGGTACTGCTTAGTATTTGACTAACTGATTGGATTTATTTTAAAAATCATGGCAACCTAAATATGATTTAATGATTAAGTTCATAAAATGGTGTCATAAAGCCTTAAACGTTGGATGTAGCCAGAGAGATTTTTTTTCATAAGTTTGGAATGGTCTCTTTACTTTCAACAGATATTCGGGTTTCTTTAACAAAACAAAAAGCTGTCATAATCATAACATACTTTGATTTCTATTGTTCCTTGCTATTTTTCAATACTGCTTAAATTTTGAAAATTACCTTAGTATACTTTGGAAGCAGTTCTTGGACTTCAAACTCTCTAATTTGGAAAGATTCCATTTGCTTGCACTGCACCTTTCATCTGACAATCAACAACGGTTGCCAAAAAAGGCCAAAAATGGAATTACAAACTTTTGATTATGCTGAAATCACTGGGTGAAGGGTGTCGACCGCAGAGGGAAAGCGATACTTCCGCTCTTTGGAAAATGGAAAAGTGCTGCCACAATCGTAACTGACTGACTGAGTTACTAAATGCAGCACTCTGACGGGCGAAATGCAGGGGAATTCAGTCATGTCCACCTGCAAAAAACGAGAATGCTCCCATCCAAAGTGCCAGAAAGTCCTGGCAGAAAAAAGCGGAGACACAACTTTTGTCTGTGTCTCTTTGAAATGGACCATGGCTGTGATTAATTTAATTTGCGCTATTATATTTACAACTTTTACCAGGAACAACAACCAACAGTCAGAGAGGCCAAACAGTAGGAAAATATTTTCTGAAATGTAAATATTTTATAAAGCTGCAATGCAGAAGTTTTCCGTAGAGGTTTTCATATTTATATGGGCATTACAAAAAATTGAATATAAATTGGATTGGTAAGGAAGTCAAAAGTTTAGTTCATATAATAACTTGCATAATTTATTAACTTCTTGTCATTGCGCAAAAAATAATCATAAGTCAAGATGAATTTTTCAAGACTGCATTTGAATTTATGGCACTTTTAAAAGTGAGCGAAAACGAAAGTCAAAAGTTCCCGATGCCATTACCAAGTTCCGCGGAGCATTGGTTTTTCTTGCATCCAAAGCATTCCACATTCAGCATCCATTTATTAATTTTCGACAGTGCGCACACCATTTTTACAAATGAAGGCGTGGCACTGTGCCAATTTGGCCCACTGGCCCCATTTTGTGGGCCAGATGGCGGGGTGAAAAAATACCGAAAGGGCGTCGATTCTCAAAGCATAAAAACAGCGCCACAATTTTATGTAAATTTATTTTCCACAATTGGTGTTTCTCGGTTTACCCTTTGTTTTATTTTCGGCCTGATTGTGTTTTCTTTTATTAGTTTAAGTTACGACTTTTTCAAAAAACTACAGGCCAACAAGAAAATTGGGACTTAATCCGAGCGGAAAATACGTTGATTACATTTCGAGTGGTTTTGGATGCCTTGCTTTATTTTTCAAAGGATTTAATTTAATTGAAGAAAATGTTGGAGAAAAATGTGTAATATCACGTAGTGATAAATTTGTTTGCCATTTTTGTATACAAAAGATGAAATCTGTAAACATTTTTTGTTGTATATATTTGTTAGGGGATATTATTTAATAATTGAAACATTTATTTAAAAGTACAACTTGTTTATAAAACCAATGTAACTAAAATAATAAAAAAATTTATTCTTGTTAAATTTAAGGGTGGCCATCATTTCCCTAATGAAAACGTTGTAATAAAATATTTAAAATGCCACATTTTTATACCAGTTTAAATATGAAAATGTGATATATTGCCTTTTTTGATATTGCCTAAATTTTCGATATTACTTAATTGTGATAAAGTTTACTCAACAATATAACTTATTTATGAAACATTAAAAACTAGAAGAACAAATAACAGCAACTGATATATGGTGAATTATTTAAAAAATTAAAATTCATAAAACTTTTTGCAAAATATATTTTACAAACTGTATGCTTTATAAAAAGGTTTGAAGGGTTTATAGATTTTGTTGATTTGTTAATGTTGTAAGTAGTTTAAGGTTTCTAAACTAAAAATGTGCAATGGTCCTTGTACATTGTATTAATAAATCATGGATAACTTTCGATTCTCTGTAGTTTGGCGTTCATTTGGGGCAAGGACATTCCCTCTTCGGTGTCCTTAGCCGACTCCTGGCCGCCTGGCTCTCGTTTTGTTTACTGTCCGGGAGCCATAAATTACGGGGCCGGGGATTGGGAATGGGATAGGGAATGGGATTGGGATCGGAAGGGGGAAATAGAGTTGGTGGCTCGTTTGCTGCTCCTGGCTCCTTGCTCCTTGGTCCTGCTTGCGGTTTCCGTGGGAGGTGCCGCTTCATTTGCCTGCCCTCGTCCTGGAAAAGGACTTTGCTGTGGTCGTCGCCCTTTCGCCGAAGTCATTGCGCGTAAAAAATCTCTAGGCCAACTTTTCCCTCCCCTTTTTTTTATCCCTATTTTATACACTTTTCCAATGTCTATACGACTTGGCTCTCGTATTTTTTGTTGGTTTTTGCCAACTTTGCTTTTTCATTCTTCACGATGCTTTGTTTTGCACTTGCTCTTTGCCACTGCCCCACCCATTTTTCTGGCCTTATTTTTTTTGCTTGTTTAATGACTGTCAAGCAGCTTAAAGCCCATTATCCTTATTTATGCTTGCGTAATTGGCTCGTGGACAATATTGTGTAGTTTTCCCATTGTTATAGACGATTTTTATTGGCGCGTGATTTCTTGTAATTACGCCAACGCATTGTTTATAGTCCTTGCGCGGCCATAAGTATAATGAGATAGGGATCTTCGGAGAGCGTGCCTTATCCGCGGAAACCGAAAAAGCATTATATGATATCTGGAGATATATCTCACCTTCTTGCTGGAGTGCTGGTAGTAGCGCCGCGGATGCAGGGCACACATGTATCTGTCGACGGCCATGCAAACCAGGATGACGGCGCTCTGCTGGGAAAGCGCGCCGCGCAGCAGAGCCTGAAAAATGCGGAAAATTCGGAAAATGCGTTAGTGCTAGTTTAGAAGTTTATTATTTGCATTATGGGTTTTTTTTTCGGGAAAAACTTTTCTGCCCGGCAGAGGCGAAATGAAAAACTTGTAATGGAATTTTTTCCGGCATCAGAATAGAACAGCTAATACGAAGATTATTAATCATCAGTATGTGCTGAATACCAGTGAGTTATGCGGGGAATGCGTGTATGTTTTATCAATAATCTAGGAAAGGCAATAACAATTTGTATTTTATGGGAAAACTATGTTAGAGATGCCCCCAATCTGGTAGAAACAGAAGCTGTGAGGTACTAGAAAAATATAGTTTAAGAGGAGTAAAATTTAATTTAATATGATTTACTAATGGCTGATCATAAGATATATGGTATCCATATTAATATACATTAGATATAATAATGTTTCTCTCTAAACATTAGTTAATTAACCATATGGCAGTGATAATAATGTAATAATTATAATTATAATTAATGTAATCTAGGAAAGCAATAAACAATTTCATGTAATTAAAGGGAAAACTGTTTTAGAGATATCCCATCTGATAGAAGCAGAAGCCGTGAGCAACTAGAAGAACCTCTTTATATAATTTTCTATTGATTGATTTTAAAGTATTTGATATCAATATCAATGTACCTTAATTGAACCTAATCTGAACATTAGTTAATTAACCATACGGTAGAGAAAGCGGTTTACTAATTACACCTTCTGCAACTGAACCCTTTTAAATCGAACCTAGGAAAGCAATAAACACTTTCATGTAATTAAATGGAAAACTGTTTTAGAGATATCCAACCTGATAAAAGCAGAAGCTGTGAGCTACTAGAAGAACCTTTTAATGTAATTTTCTGTTGATTGATTTTAGAATATATGTATGTTATCAATATTAATATACATTTAATATAGTCATGTTTCTCTCTAAACATTAGTTAATTAACCATATGGCAGTGATAACAGTCTACTTATCACACCTTTTGCATCTGAACCCAGCTGGTTGACCACTTAATCCTGCGCACACTTGACCATGTTAACATTAGCATTACACATTGTTCCGACGGTTAATCGGAATACCCCGTTACCATCTCCGTCGCTTATGTCCTTTAATTACCGGGCATTGTGAAGAGAGTTAATTGACCGCAATGGCAAAACAGACACAAACGGGAAACCGTCGTTCTCCAACAAATTATCGCATATCCGCCCAACCTGTTGACCCACCCCAGAACCACTCCTGACCCCCTCCAGAACCACTCACCTGTATCTGACAGAAGATCTCTCCGTACGGCCAGCAGTGGAACAATGCCGGCATTAGACCGAATGGTGTAATTAACAGACCAATTGTCAGGTCATTCAGAGCCAGCGAGGTGAGCAGATAGCGGGGCTACGGCGGGGGGATATAAACAAGATGTACAAGGGGGTTAAGGTTGGGTTAGCCGGTGACTCATCCGCATCTCACCTGTTGGTGTATGTAGGCCGCATAGCGGCGATTGTTGATGACGAAGATGACCAGGCAGTTGGCCCCGATGACGCCCAGTGTCAGGACCAGAATCAGCACCGCCTCGATCGTCTCCGCAATGCCTATGTGGGCGATGAAGTTGTGGCCCGAGTAGCGCGGGTGTGAGCAACTGGAGTTCTTCACGGCGGGCGCTACCAGGAGAGAGCCAGACTTTAGATCCATGGCAGAGCTGGAAGGGGAATCGAAAATGGCATGAGACGGAGTCCTTTTTCAAAACTAAGAGGAATAGCATTTTATAAAATTGCAACTCATTTATAAAGCTGTGTAAGAGTATGCAACAATATGTTTTCATTCTAAAAGAACAGACACCCCAAGGGCTTTTTTTAACAAATTTTATCGCACCTTTATATATTTAGTATCTTGATCTTAAATCAGGAGAAATTTAACCTATGAATTACATTAAGTTGGTAGTTGAAATTAATTTTAAAGGTGTCTAAAAGTATGCAACAATTTATTTTTATTCCAAAAGAAGGTATTATCTTATACTGCATACTTTTAGGCACTTTAATAAGCAATATTAAGCCATGAGAAATAGAAATCCAATAATTATAATAAACTTGTAGTTAAAGCCACTGTTAAAGGTGTGCACCTCTAAATAGTGTGTATAAATTTCTTGGCACAATAAGGACCCCAAGACAATGTTGACTTAATTTGCTATCCTGTACTAGACATGTGACAAAAATGGGTGGGTATTATCTTTAAGTCCTGTGACCAATCCGTCGTCCGACCACAAAGGCCCAGTGCGCCGTTTCTTTCGGAGATGCCTTCCGTTCCATTTCCGTTTCCGCAGCGAGGAATGCAAAATGCGGACGATTTGTTACGCCATAATGAAGTCAAGGCATGTGAAAGGGAAGCCGCGTTGCCGATTTATCAGGCGGAGTCGTCGGGGGAGATTGGGATGAGGCGCAGGATGACAGGATGAGTAGTCCTGCCAGCAAAACCGCAGAGTTGTCGTTGTCACTCCGAGTGCTCTAAGCTCTGCATAGACAATGGCCCAACAATGGCCCAATATGGCGGCACTTCCGTTCGCCCCCAAATAGCACAGTGACATAATGAAAGTTAACAGTATAATTGGATGCGTCTGGGAGGGGGGATTCCATACCATCCCCCACCATGATAAATCAAAATACTGAGGGAGCTCTTTGGAGTTACGTTGATATCTCTCTTTGGCAATCCGTCTTTAGAGCGGTGGAAAAATTCCCTGTGCAGTGGCATCAGTTTAAAGAGTTTTCCCTCCGCCAACTGTCGCCGTCTGTCTGTGAGTCTATCTGTATCATTTGTTTGTTGTCGCATCTCTTATTAAGTTTCGCCACGCATACCATATACCATACCATACCATATATAGTATATCCCCGAGCTCCCAGATCTGCGCCTTGATTTATCGTGGCCCGTCCAAAGTCGCCAGAGAGTCGGGATGTCGCCGGGCCGCTTGGTTTTATGCTAAGTCCACAAATCACCGCATGATATATAACCGAAAGGCAATGGCAAAACATTAAGCTCACCCCATCCCGATCCCAATGGCCCCTCTTTCCCGATTTAGTACGCTAATGTGTGTCCCAGAACTTCAGGTTGCGAGGTTCCGATTCGGGTTTTTCATTAAACAAAACGCTCAGCAGGCGATGGTGGCTATAAATCCCCAACTTTGGCTGAATCAATTAGGATCTGGTTAGTGAGTGGTGACCCGCCGTCATGTGTGTGCGCTTCGGTTAAAAAACCAATTTCAATTTCCAAGTAATGAAAAGGGGAAATTCGCTTAATTCCTCGCATTGTTAAGTCTGGCGTAATCGGAGAGTTGCAACTGCAGAACCGAAACAGGACCGAAAACCCAGCGGAGAGACAAAGTAGAAAAGGTCCTGTTGAAAAAAGGATACCGAAGCCAGACGCAAATGCAAAACCGCGTAATTGTTTTAAAATGCACAACGAAAATGGCAATAAACGGCAGATCCCACTGGTAACTGGTAAATGGTAACTGGAATCAACCCGGTTCATGGGGCAATGCCATTAAAATAAACGAAATTTCCATGCGAAGTTTTTGGGGACTTTCGGTGGGGGAAAAACGGATGGATCCATGAAACCCAATTCGATGACATTTGCCAAAGACAAATGCTGAATAAATAATTTAGCTGCCGGATTAGAGAGCCGCAATCCGCTTTTGAATTTACACTCAAGTAACTGCCATTAGTGGCGAACTATTGCATATCATTAGGCGCCACCGCAGCAAATGCTGCATGCAGCTCAAATGCATCTGCAGTCGCCCCCAATCAACGGCCATTGTGCATCCGCCCTAATCCGCAGCGCAAAGTTATTGCAGTTACTTGGCACTGGATTTGGCCAGGATGAAAATAACAACTCGCAACGCACTCGAGGATCGAGGTTCGAACGCTTTTTGCCAACTGCCAAATGGCTAAGAAATACGCAGCAATTTCAGGTTGTGCAATGCACTGAGAAATTTAGTTTGTAAAATTTTTACAGGTAATTATATTGTTTTATTGAAGTTAAGCACTTATTAAGAAAATTGCAATTAATCCTCCAAATATAAAATTAATTTGGATTGTTTTTTACTTACATATGAGTGTTTTTTTATAAAACGTATCTGGTTTTTCTTTATGGTCTCAAATCGATTTCATATTTAAATCACGATATTATACCATTTATAAGGAATTATAAAAAAATAAAAAATCTTTATTTGATTAACTTATTTTCTCTTAGCTATGACTTTTTACAAATTTTAATAAATATTTAACTAAGGCAAAGAGTTTTGGTTTTATTGCTTTAACATTTGCATATATGGATATCGGATTTACAATGTTATACATATATTTTTTATAACATGTTTTAAATTTAAGTGCTGTTCTTAGTGTAAGAGATGAAATACAATCTATAATAAATTTATAGTGGATTAAGAGAAAATAAAATAATAAGAAAATAATAAATACACTGAAAAACAATAGTCTAAAATATATTTAAGAAATCAACCCTCTATTAGCTTAGAGTTTTAGTTACAAGATATTATACGATAGTAATAATAATAATATTTAAGAAAATATGAACCGAGGCAAATATAATTCTTTCAAAAATATCTGTGCTTTATTCCTGAACTTTTGATAATTTTTGTTGAGTGAGCAGCGTTTTCGCTCAGTGTATTCACCCCCGAAAAAGGGACCCAGACGCAGACCCCAAAAAGGGACACCCCGAAATGGCTGGGCATAAAAAACAGTGCCACAGGAGCAGAACGGCAGAGCGGCAAGGACCAGAACGGACGCAGGATGCGGGGCCGCCGGAAGTGGTTCCAAAAAGAGAGGGAAAGGACACCAATTCCACATTCACAGTGCGTTTTGTCCTCCCAAAGGACGCGTGTGTGTGTGCCAGTGTGTGTTGGCCCAGTGTTTTGGCCCTCTGTGCGTGCGTGTTAATGCACGAAACCGTAAAGCCAGTCAGAGTAACAAAAAAAAAAAAAAGGGGACCCATCCTGACGATGCATTTCATGCACATTTACACTGCGGTCCTGGAAAAGTTGCTCCAACTGAGGTCCTGGTCTCCAGCCAATGCCGACATGCCAAAAAGTGTGTGTGCATGGCAGCATTTCACATGCAAATTTGCTGGGAAAGTATCCACTTTTTTCTGCTCTTCTGGCTTATTTATAAGACTTTCTTTGAGGCCACTCACTTCACACACATGGCTCGAAGCTGATTTCGTTTGACAAAATGCCCCGTTGACTGATTGCCACGCCCACGGCCCCAGCAACGCCCACCAGTTTGGGGAACATGGCAAGTGCTTGGGCTACGAGATTGTGGCCAGAAGTGGATTCTGGCCGGGAATGTGTGTGTGTGTGTGCTTAGCCCAAAGAGCTGGTCCAAATTGACTAGTTAAGGCCACAGATTTTCCAAATTGCTCGACATTGTCAAATGGTTTCGCTTAACAAATTTTCCATTGATTGAGTCCAGACACCTGGAGATGCGTTACTTAATATCAAGCAGATGTCTTGCCAAACTTGAGTTTCGTCTGCCATCCGGCCAACATGTCGTATACGTAATCAACACAAGAAAAAACAAATTAATTATGAAATGAGTACGTCACTCTGTTTGTGACAAGCTGTATTTACTTTTAAGAAATAACTTATATGATAGAATCAAGTCAAGATGTTGCCAGCAGCGAGATGAGTTTGTTAAACATGAATTGAAATCAGCTTTTTGCCATAATACTGTTTAAAATTGAAGTATTTATATAGCAAATTTAATATTTTTAAAAACACGATTGAAATTGGTAATTTCCAGGCTGTTCAATATGCAAATTGAAACTTGTTTTAGGCACTTCTTTTGTGGCGCATTTCCAGGCAACCGAATTAAATCTCATTACCTCTTTATAATGGGGTTATATGTCCAAAATTTGACTGACTGCCTGAAGCGTGCAAATGAGCCAAATATTTAGCTGGCATGGGTAATACAGTTTTGATTGGCATGCAGATGAAAAAGGCTTTTGTACAAAAGGCCGTTATCCCATTCAAAATAAAAAAAAACAAGTAACATGCACGTATTTAGGGCGGATACGAAAGTTTTCAAGTTGAAACGGTGCAAACGGAATTTAATAAATACGTGCAAGGCATTTGTAATTTCCATTCGCACTCGCAAAGCTTTTCGGCATTGCCGTGAAAGCTAAAAAACTTGCCAAAATAATCACCCGCTTGGCTGCAATTAAAGAGCTCCCCGCAGCCATAAAGTGAATCCCCTAAGAACACACACACCGAATGTGTGTGTTTTGGGTATGTTTTTGGGTGTGTTTTCGGTGTGTGTTTTTGGGTATTCCCGGGTACAACTTTTGCGTTTGCCATGCGTGGTCACGTACACGTGAAAATGGCGTAAATGTTTTAAAAGTTGCATCAAACTTGTTATGAAGTATTCGCCCCCCAGAAATAAAGGAACCCCGTTTACCTACCCCCCACAAAAAAAAAAGTCTCCCGAACTTGCCAAGAAATTGCAATGCATGTGCGACCCTCTAAAGAAATTAGCAGCAACATTTTCGGGCTTCAAGTGGGAATTTAGACTTTTTGTGTTAATGGGAAAGGTGGCAAAGGTCTCAAAACAGTTTGTAGTGTCATGGGAACTTTACCAAAACAAGGGTAATAAAAGATTCAATTTAAAAATAAGCCTTTTTACTAATAACAC